ACGAAGCATGTTAATTGGATTATCATGTAAAAATAAATTGGGGATAATCAATGGGACAATCCCCAAACCTAGTGAAAACTCTGTGTTGTTTGAACCATGGGTTCGTTGTAATGATATGGTGACTGCGTAGATACTAAATAGTCTAGACACTAAGATTAGGGAGAGTGCGATGCATACAGAATCTGCTCAAAAACTTTGGAAAGAAATCGAACGATATGGGAAAGCAAATGAGACTAAGGTGTTTCAAATCAGGAAGGACCTTGCTTCCATTTCCCAGGGGTCTTCTAACACTGCTTCCTATTTCAGTCGTATTAAAAAGCTTCGGGATGAGTTGGCATACTCAATTACTTATCCAGACTGTACATGTAATTGTAAAGAGGCCTTTCAGAAGCTAAAGGAAGAGCAGAAGGTTCATCAATTTCTGATGGGGTTAAATGAAACCTACACTGGGGTTAGGAGAAACCTTCTTCTAATGAAGCTTTTGCCTGATATTAACAGTGTGTATGCAATGCTAACTGAGGATGAAAGCCAAGCCGAAGTTCAAATTTCAAATTCAGTTTTCAGTCTAGAGTCTACCTCCTTTAGCACAAATGTTCAGAAGCCTATGAATTCAAGGGTGCAATTTGACACTACTATGGACAGTACCAGAGTTCAAAGGCCTTTCACTCCGAGGATAAATTTTGATCCTACTAAGAAGGGGAATTCTAGTTTGATGTGCAGATACTATAAGAAACCTGGGCATCTAATTGAAAACTGCTATAAGCTGCATGGGTACCCTCCAGGCTTTGGTTCCAAATTCAAAAGGTCAGCTGCATTTGCTCAAGTTTCTAATTCACCTGATATGGGAGCTACTGATAACGCTGCTTCTGAGAGCTCCAAGGTGATTCCACTTGACATTGGGGCAACATTCTGACAAAAGAACAATATGATCAACTGCTCAATTTGCTTCAACAGTCCAAGATGTCCTCTGCCTCTCAAAAAATTCCATCTGGTTCAGCAAACTTTGCAGGTCTGATAGGTATTTCTGCTTTCAGTAATTGTGATTCTTATGTTTGCAATTTTACTAAAGTAGAGGATGACCTTTGGATCATAGACTCTGGTGCTACTAATCACATGACCCCCACCAATCTTTACTAACTGATATTAAGCCCTTAACTTTGCCTTACCTTGTGACTCTTCCAAATGGATACAAAGTTAAGGTCCATTGTACTGGTTCTCGTTATCTTTCTCCAACCATATCTCTTCCTAATGTCCTGCTTGTTCCTTCTTTTCATTATAATCTCATATTTTCAAATCAACTACTAGTTCATATTAAATGTAAAGCCTTTTTTACTGTCTATGCATGTGCTTTGTTGCAGGGCCCTTTTCTGAAGAAGCCAGTGGTGCTTGGTAGACTTCAGAAGGGTCTCTACATTCTTCAGCCTAATGATCTTTGTGACTGTGATGCTTCTTCTTCTAATTCCTCTGTAAATACCATAACTGTCAATGTTGATATAAAGAATAAGAGCAGTTCTCTTCTATATCCTTCTATGTGCTAATCTTTCTACTTCTGCCTTGTCTATTGATCATGCATGGCATTTGAGGTTAGGACATGCTCCTTTTGCTAAAATGAAGCATATTCCTTTTCTTTCTGATAAATTGCCTAATAAACAATCTTTCATTTGCTCAATTTGTCCCATGGCTAGACAGCAAAGGTTACCCTTTCCTGAAAGTACCATTCGCTCCACTACTCTTTTCCAACTGATTCATGTAGATTTGTGGGGACCCTATCACACTCAAACTTATAATGGTTTTAAGTATTTTCTGACCATTGTAGATGACTTTACTAGAGCCACTTGGACTCCCTTGCTCTAAATCCAATGCCTTTTCTATTTTGAAATCCTTTAGTGCTATGGTCAGCACTTAGTTTTCCCTTCCTGTCAAAACTGTGAGATCAGATAAAGCTTTTGAGTTGGGAGAAAGTAATGAGGCTATAACCTTTTTCTCTACTCAAGGTATCCTTCACCAGACTTCCTGTTCACATACACCACAGCAAAATGGTGTAGTGGAGAGGAAACACAAACATCTTCTTGAAACTGTCCAGGGACTCCTCTTTCAATCAAAATTGCCTCTCAAATATTGGGGTGAGTGTGTTTTGACTGCCACATATCTCATAAACATGTTTCCTTCACCTCTACTTCAAAATAAGTCATATTTTGGGTTGTTGCATGGTTACTCTCCTTCATTTGCATACTTGAAAGCTTTTGGCTGCTTATGTTTTGCTGCTGTACCTAAGCCTTACAGAGATAAGTTCAAATCTAGGACTATTCCATCTGTTTTATTAGATATAGTTCTGGTAAGAAAGCTTATAAGTTGCTCAACTTATCCAGTTCAGTTATTTTTCACTCAAGGGATATGGTGTTCCATGAACACATATTTCCCTATTCTAATGCATCTACTCCTGCTCCTTTGTTTCCTCTAGTCCCTCATTCTTCTATGACTGATAATGTGCCAATGCCTGATTATATTTCTGATGCTATACCTGTCTCTACATCTTCCTCTATTTCTACTTCTGATGATCCCTCCTGTGTTACTAATCCTCCTCTTAGAAGATCTGGTAGGCCCTCCAAACCTCCTACTTATCCTAATGATTATGTATGCACCTCTGTTTCTAGTTCTAAAGTGTTGTCCTCTTCTGAAGTTAATTGCTTACAAGAGCCTCAATTTTATCATCAAATTGTGTCTAATGCTGCTTGGCAGGAGGCCGTGATGAAGGAGTTTCAAGCTTTAGATGCCAATAACACATGGACTATAATGCCTCTTCCATCAGGGAAGAAAGCTATACCTTGTAAATGGGTTTACAAGATAAAACAGTGGGCAGATGGCTCTATTGAGAGATACAAGTCTAGATTGGTGATTAGAGGGGATAGTCAACACGAAGGAGTAGACTTTACTAAAACTTTCTCTCCAGTGGTCAAATTGACCACCATTAGATGCCTACTATCCATAGCAGCTAAGAGACATTGGATGGCATTCCAACTTGATGTTAACAATACTTTTCTATATGGGGATCTTGATGAAGAGGTGTATATGAAAATACCTCCTGGTTTGACTATTCAATCCTCTACTTCTACTACTCCTTTAGCCTGTACGCTTAATTAATCTCTCTATGGTCCGAGGCAGGCTTCTAGACAATGGTATGCTAAGCTGTCCTCAGCTCTCCAGTCTAAGGGTTTTCACCCTAGTGTTAATGACTATTCTTTGTTTAGGAAGTTGCATTGGAATTCCTTGACTATAGTAGCTGCTTATGTTGATGATATACTGGTGACTGGGGATGATTTATGTGAAATTGCTGCCTTGAAACAGTTTTTAGATGCTCAGTTAAGATAAAAGATCTTGGTGAAATTCATTTTTTTCTTGGACTTGAAGTTGTAAAGCAAGAAAATTGTTTTATGGTTAATCAACACAAGTTTCTTGTGGAACTTCTTTCTAAGTTCCACTGTTCTGTTGTCACTCCTGTTGTTTCCCCCTTAGATACTCATGTTAAGTTGTCAGCTGATTCTGGAGATTTGCTGCTTGATCCCTCTGTCTATAGAAGGTTGGTAGGGAAGTTAAATTTCTTGCAACATACTAGACCTGACATATCATTCAGTGTTCAACATTTGAGCCAATACATGTCTGCCCTACGACTGAACCATTTGAATGCTGCTTATCATGTATTGAGGTACTTGGCTGGCACCCCATCACTTGGTTTGTTATTATGTAATTCTCTTGACTTTACTCTCCAAGGTTACTGTGATTCAGATTAGGCAAGTTGTGCTGATTCTAGACGGTCTGTTAGTGGCCTTATCGTGTTTCTTGGTGGTTGCCCCATTGCCTGGAAGTCTAAGAAACAGCCCACCATTGCTCTATCCTCTGCTGAGCCTGAGTACATGGCACTCAGATTATTGGTTGCTGAGGTTTCTTGGGTCCTTCGACTCTTGGCTGAGCTTGGTGTGGGAGATCTTGTCCCTGTTGATGTTTTCTGTGATAGTAAATCTGCCATACACATCGCGAAGAATCCTGTTTTCCATGAATGTACTAAGCATATTGAAGTGGATTGCCATTTTGTTCGGGATGCGCTGAAAGCTGGGCTAATAACTCTGCACTCTATCTGTACTCATTCTCAACTGGCTGACATTTTTACTAAGCCCCTTTTGGGTAGCAGTCAAAAGGCCTCTATCTCCAAGCTTGGAATGGATTCCCCTTCCAGCTAGAAGGGGGGGGGGGGGGGGGAGTGTTGGAGCCCATGAAGCAATACACAGACCCAATGAAGGAGAGGCCCACTTGAAGAAGCTGAAGCTGATGAAGCCTCCTTAGTAGACCCGGTTCATTGTTATTTAACTCTTTATCCGACCCAGATTGTATAAATATAAATATAAACTTTCATATTATTTTGTACAGCTTTACACCTTAATAAAATCTCTCTGTTCAGCTCATGCTCTTTTCTCTCCATACGCACATTTTGTCTTAGGATTTCTCTTGTGAATTTTGCTTGAGTTCATGAGGAATTCGAGTGTTTTCATGACTTGCCTTCTTGTGATTTTTCCTTCCAATTGTTTTTTCTAGTCTGGACGATTGCTCTACCTTAGCAAGTAAACCTACTTTAATCTCTCATACAAATATTAAAATTTCATTCTCACCCATAATGAAGATTTCTCCTGCATATTATTATAGTTGTGAAAACTACAAAAAATATAATGTCATTATTAATAACTGCAACAAATGGAAAAGGAAATGCAATATCTGCAACTAGAAGATTTTTCATTTGCTATAAGTATCATTTACATACAGATTATCCTTTGAAAAGGGATATATTCATCATCCTCCTAATTGTTTGAATAAATTTTTTTATCAACTTCTTTCAAGCAAATGCATCTAGTATTTCATTTTGTATCATTCTTTTTTAAAGGAAAAAATCACTCTTTTATAATACTAACTAAATCGCATGAATATCTGTCTCACGTTACCGCTGCCCCCATTGACCACTCTCCCACTCTGTCTCATCTTCAGGCTACACTTGTAATAAATAGCCGCTCTTTTACCTGAGAACGCCGGTGGAACCGGTCTATCCATTTTTGAGCGCTTCATTGCCCTCGTTTTCCTCTTCTTCACGTCACGTTCACGTCCTTTCTACTCCTGCATCACGCAACACACACACACACACACACACACACCGACACGCACTCTCTCAATGAGACCCTCTGGGGCGAAAAACAACTTCCTGCCACCTGGGCTAGTTTCCAATCTTCAGGAAGTCCTTTCCAGCAGAAAAGGTGGTGCCCAAAATCAGCCCAACAATGAAAATTCCACTGAACCCGCTTCGTCCAGCTCGGTTCCAGATGATGCTGGCGAGGTTGACAATACAAAGCCTGTAATTCTGGTTACAAATGGTGATGGGATCGAATCCCCAGGCCTCACCTATCTTGTTGATGCTCTCGTTCGTCAAGGCCTCTACAATGTTCATGTCTGCGCTCCTCAATCGTGAGTTTCCTTTTAAAATCCTCTCTCTCCCTATTACTGATACATATTTGTTCACACAGATAACAGTTTTTTCGTTATAATATAGTAAAAGTTTTATTAGATTGGATAAATAGTTTTAATGTTATAATTTGCTTGCATACCAAACAATCCTTAATAATCTATGGTTAATGCATTCCAAATGCTGTTGTAGAGATAAATCAACAGCAGGCCACTCTTTTACTCTGAAGGAAACCATTGCGGTTACTTCGGCTGAGATTCATGGTGCTATTGCTTATGAAGTTTCTGGTATCACACTCTTACTGTTGGTTTTAGAAGTATATATATTTTGTTCATTGTTTTGTTGTAACGTTTGATATCAATTTTTACTGGAGCTTTGTAGGAATATTCTATTTTGATTTTTTTTTTTATATACAGTATTTCAACTCTAACATGTTAGGCCGTTTGAATTTGTTCTGGTATTAGGGACTCCCGTAGATTGTGTGTCATTAGCCTTGTCTGGGGCACTATTTTCCTGGTCCAAGCCTATGCTGGTATTCTTTGACATGCTTCCAGTTATACTGTTATCCTATTTCATTTTTGGGTTTGGTATTGCTTACCCGCAGAGTATCCTCTGTTATTTCTTTCTGCTTGGACTTTTAGGTGATAAGTGGAATCAACAAGGGATCAAGTTGTGGCCATCATATGTAAGTAGAAATTTCTTTTGTGACCTTCCTGTTGTCTACTAAGTACTGACAATGTTCATTTTTAGTAGTAACTTTAATTTAGCACAATTCTTTTGCTTGAAATTGTTTTATTATGACTACTGCTCATATTAAAGTTGTGAATTGACACGTTCTTGCTCTTTTATTTGTTACTTTTATATACAACAACAACCAACAACAATAACAATAACAACAAACCCATCTCCTTAGAATTTTCTGATTATCTGTATTACTACACTGTTTCCAGGTTTTACTCAGGTGTTGTAGCTGGTGCAAGGGAGTCATTGTTCAATGGTGTCCCATCTTTATCGATATCACTTGACTGGTATTTGCCTTTCATTTATGGTATACTGCTGAAGTTTTGATTACTCTTGATGGTCTTAACAATGCATACCCATAATCTACTTTAGGAAGAATGATGAAAGTCAAGAAAGTGATTTCAAGGATGCTGTAAGTGTTTGTTTACCGTTGATAAATGCAGCCATTAGAGATATAGAGAAGGGAGCTTTTCCCAAATGTTGCTTGCTGCATGTGGAAGTTCCAAAATCTCCTCTGACAAACAAGGTCTGTTTTATTGTCACCCTTGGGCCGCTTCTTCCAAATGAAAAATAATAAAGAATATGGACTTGTGGTTCATTGATCAGACCAGTTAAAAAAGCATCCATCCATTTGAAACGGCTATTTCTGAAACATTCTGAAGGATGTTTGAGTGAGTCTATTGGTGTTGGGGTGCAAAACCAAAGTTTCGTCTTCGTTCCTTTTGTCACCACGTTCCGGTATCAGGGCAGAGTTGTGTTTGTATTAGCATGTTGTATCTCTTCATATATGTGGATACAGAGAGATTATTTTTGTCCCTTTACGTGACAGGGGTTTAAATTGACCAAGCAAAGTCACTGGAGCCCTAAGCTTTGCTGGCAAGCTACTTCAGCAAACAGGAATCCAGCTGCCGGACGTTTTCTTCCCAATCAGGAAAGCCTTGGAATACAGCTCGCGCAACTAGGACGAGATGCTTCTGCAGCAGTGAGTAGATGTCATAGTATTTTGCTTAACTGGTCCTTTACTGGCATGTAGTGACCTCGATGATTTATGATGCTAAAAGCAAGTGTATGATTGCCTCTAAGTTAGTGACAACCCAATTGCATAATTTTGCTCTTTAAGTTAAACAAGATCAAGAATTAAGCTACCCCTCATCCATATATCTGAAAGGAATTTATATGGAGTACAAATTCTGTTGAATATTTAAAAAGTATAGTGTCCAGAGCTCAAGGCAAGAGGTAATAACTTCAAAGCTGATTCATTTCCCAGTTTCCAATGTGTGTGTTGAGTAGTATCTGAGTGGCTCTTTTGACTCCATTACAGTATGCAATAAGGCAACATGCACATAAATGGGTCTAAATACAGTTATTTGTGACATGCCTTTGGAACACTATGCAGCCCCTGTTTGTTTTAGTTGTCTCAGTCAAGGTTTGCAGTGTATATATCTTCGCCAGTCATACCTCTACCTTCTCATTTTTCTCAGGGTGCCGCCCGTCGGTTAGCCACTCAGAAAAAGAATTTAGAGGAGGTTGAATCTGTTGGTGTAGCAGGGAAATCTGATCCCAACCGGAAAGTCAAGTATTTCAGATTGGAGGTAAGGAAATATTTTCCAACTCTATGGAAATATGATATCGAGTTGGCTGTCTTGGATAACCAATAGAGGAATCTTCAGGTTGTTTTCTTTTAAGTGAAAATGCAAATTTCAACTTTATCAATCTCTGTCAATGGAAAAGTGGGATCTTATGTATCAGAATGTGTTAAGTGATTTTGATGCTCTCAGATATTTGCTTATTGCACTGTCTCTGTGACGATAGAGCATGCTTGTTCTTCTATTTGGGCGGTCATATTTATGTCCTCAGATGTTGCAAAGTTGTGGTTCTCACAGCCAAGCGTCACATGTTTCCTTCTACTGATTTTTCTCATCTCGATATCTTTTTACGTGGTACCAGTTGGTTCTAACATTAAGTGAATGACCATATTGATTATTTGCATTGCAGTTACTTGAAAAAAAGCAGGAAGAAGAGGATGAGGATTTAGATTATAGAGCTCTTGAAAATGGCTTTGTAAGTTTATTACTCCAATCCTTGATATAATTGTCTTTTTCCCACATGGTGCTGGGAGGGAGCTTTGGAGTTTCTTAGCTTGTTCTCTGCCCTTGTGATCATATTTACAGTTTAGACAAACTCGCGCTAGTGGATTTGCTGTGTCTTTATATGCCTTGATCAGTTGATGTTAATGTGCTCAACAGATAGCGGTCACTCCAATCTCTCTTGTGATGCATGTGGAAGCAGATGTCCGTGCAGCTGCTTCAGAGTGGATTTCTACTGCATTAGAAGTTCAACAGTGAAATTCATCTAGTCACTTGATCAGTAACTTTTTTGTACATTTCTAAATGAATTTGTTCCAGTCATATATGCAAAATCCACCTAAGGGTTATATTGGCGACACTGTTTATTTGCTTTTGTCTATTGCCTCATCCTTTTGAATTTTGTAGTGAAGCTATTCCATCAGCTTTTGATTCAGAAGTGCTAATTTTTTTGCTTGGTACCACGAGGTTGTGTTGTAGGCTGCTTTATTGACGAACTGTGGTTAGGTTATTCTCTTCTACCTTGTAAACAGACACAGCCAGATGAGATATAGTGGAATGCTTTTTATTACCTGACTAGATGTTGTACTGTCTGCTCTTTTATCTTTTTACCCCCTTTGAAATCTAGCTCTTTCCAACTTGGGCACCCTCGTGTGTTGAAGAAACTCCACAAAGAGTTGGAAGAACTAGACTTTAATTTTTGTTATGCAAATCCTTATACACTAAACGAGTGATGGAAATCCAAATATTCTTTTAGACATCTCATCTTCGGGTTCTTTTCTACAATTTCTGTGATTGTTGTGTACTTCACCTGCTATTCTGCAGATACTATACATCCATGCCTAATTAGATTGGTATTTTTTTCAATAGTCTCACACTCTCACTACATATACAATTGACCTTTTCTTTTCTTGTTTCCTTTTGAATGTGTGTGTTGGCAGTTGAAAGTTAAAAGTGGAAAATTATACTAGCGTCAAGTAGAGGTGCCCGTGCTGTGCGCTCAAATATTTTGCAGCATGTGCAGAAATTAGCATAGTCTGAAGTTCCTTTATTTCTTTTTTGTTGAATCTGAAGTTTCTTTCTGTGAAAATACTCCATTAGCTTCTTTGTGGCTTCTGGTTGGTTGTAGTTTTCTGACACTGTATGCCATTTATTTCGATGCTTAAGCTCAAACAGCACAATATGATACAATAATTAGAGAAGAACTATTAAAAAAAAGGGAAAAAAGTAAGCAGAAAGAGAAAGATTAATTATTATATACAGCCGTACATAGAAATTTTTGCGGAAAATGGTCAAAACTATCCCTATTGTTTGCTAAATGGTCTATAAATACCTTCCATCCATCTATCCTTCCAAAAATAAACACGACGTTAATTCTATTAATAAAATTACCCCCGCGACTAACGGCAGAATTGGTAGGCCTTCAATTTAATGACATGGCATTTTATTACTGGCCACGTGGCAATCTCGGGCTGAAATCTAACCTGGATTTAATACCGGCTCATTTATTTGACCCGCCTAATTATTTTCTTTCTTTTTCTTTGCTTTTTTCCTTTCTCTTTTTCCTTATCACCCAGCACACCCACTCTAACGAACCTAAATCCCAAAAGTTTGGCGTTGCCACTAGCCAATCGCCGCCACCGTCGAAAGTTCGACGTTACCCCCAACTTTCCGCCCTCTCTTTCTCTTATGTTCTTAACAAACTCACCTCCCCCCCCCCCCCCACCCACCCACCCTCTCCAGGGTGCTACTGCCGACATCATTCCTCTACCACCAGTGATGGCGACCACTGGATGTCCTTGCCAAAACTGGATGTCCTTGCCAAAAATGGTAACCAGCAGCGATAAGTAATCATGAACGTGACTAGAATCTTTCAGGTATGGACAACAAACACTGTTAATATTTTCTTGCCTTATGCTTGATGCTTATGTTATCTTTGTCTATGTGATTTTGTTGCAAAAGAGAGAAAACATGGACAATGGCCGAAGATGGAGGGTCTAACATTTCTGATATCTTCTTTGATTCTTGGCATGTTCATTTCCTAAAGATGAGGTTTATGATTGGAGAAGAAGCAAGGAGGAGGTCAGATGAGTGGAAATGGGTGTGATAGATACTACCATTTTTGTAAATAGGTCGGATAAGGTAAATGAGTCGAAATAATATCCATTTTTGTTCCCGTCGAAGATTGCCACGTGCCCCAGTAAAAAAATGGCACGTCATTAAATTGTAGGCTCACCAGTTCTGCCATTAGTCGCGGGGTTAATTTAATTAATAGAATTAATGTTGTGTGTATTTTTGGACGGATAGATGGACGAAGGGTATTTATAAACCATTTAGCAAACAATAAGGGTAGTTTTGGCCCTTTTCTGAAATTTTTATAAGCAATGTCAATATTTGAAAAAGTGAGCAAATAAATAAATCACTATAGCGAAAAGCGTTATCAGTTTTTAAAAATTATATCAAATATTTTTATTTTTCTTACTATTTATATATACATATTAACGAATTTTTTTGATGAAGTGGTGGTGCATGCGCCCCTGCTGATACATAGGGTGTATAAAATTTCACTAAGAAATGATTAAAATTACTTGTATAAGCTATTTATGTAAAAGTTAGCTCGGATGGCTAGTTTTTGGACCGCTTGTTAATATGGAAATTTTTACCTTCCTATACTACATATGAAACTTTATTACCCTCCCAAATCAAGCTTTAACTTAATTACATGGCCATATACAATTTACCAATTATATACAAATTAGTTTTAAATGAGTATCACTTTAAATTAAGAATTGAATAAGGAATCATTTATTTCTCATCCCTGTTCTCTCTCTGGCGCTCTCTCTCTCTGTCTCTCTCTCTCTCTATATATATATATATATCTCTCATTATCTGTTCTTTCCCCAATTTTTCTTCCTCTGACGTTCTCTACTTTTTATTCTTTCATGTTGTATATATTTTTAATAGAATTTATCAATAGATTTCAATCGTTTTACAATCGAGTTTTAACTTAGCAATTTCCTTTCATGTCCAAAATTTGATCACGCCCAACTATGCCTTATAAAAAGGACTAAGCAGTCGTTGCAAATATAATCCGATTTAAAAGTCCGAAGTCGAATCTCATAGAGAACTAAGGCCTAGCTACAATTGTTCAATATCGGAAAGAAACACAAGTTCAAATACTTTCCTAGTTATAAAGATCTGATTTTTATTTATACTAATTAACTAACAAATATTATAAAGTAGTAAAACTATCAACTAGCAAGATTAAGGGTTGGAGACAAGATTAAGGAGGTCTAGAGTTATGATTTCTCCTATAGTCGAAATCCTTTCCGCTACGTTTTCTATAAATTTGCCTAATTTTTCGCTACCGATCATGAGCTCTCTGAGTGTTGTAATTCTCTCCCGAGTAACTACCACAATTTACTCGACATATTCTCCAAAATTACGCTAGCTGGCATTAAGTACATACCACTCGGATCGCACCAAGGTTTCATTATCCCTAATCTCACATTTAAACCCTCCGTATATCCCTCATATACGTTAGGAGTGATGTTGCTCAACAACTACCTAAATATGCACTCTCTCCCGAGTAGTACACACTAAATAGGCACAGTCGATTGAGAGCTTTTCAACCAACCACAATATAAACGTAGTTGAACAAATAGAGAAAAAGCTACAACAACTCTATATTAACGTAACAGGAAAATCATCCTCTAATAGGTTCCATCAAAATCCTAGATAACGAATTAGCTTTTCATAATAGTATGCATAACTAGAATACTAGAACTCATAACCAATAATGAAAATAGGAAGAAGGAAGTGAAAAACTTGTAGAAGAATTCCCCGCCTTGCTCCTAGTGTTTTCTTGCCTCCTTAGGTTGAATCCCCAGTCTAATGTCGGTCTCTCGCTATCTAATCCCCCTCAAAAGTGGCATTTTTATGTCTATTTATATATGTAGGAAAAGACCTAAACGTGTAGGCCAAGTCCTAGTCAAACCAGGAGACGAAATAAGCCTTCAAAGCTCGAAATGTGTGCGCTCCAGACCTGGCCTCGCGAGGTCTACCGCCAGCTTGAGCTCTCCCCAGGCCTGGCGTCTCCAGATCCAACGCGAGCTAAAGGCCTGGCTTCGCCAACTTTCTCCTTTTCACTGTTCTCGAGCACGCTTTCAACGTTTAAGTATCCCTTTTGCTCTACTTTCATCTCCAATTCACCTACACATAAAATAGACTCCATTACGCGCAAATGAAGTGTTATCATTAAAGCATATAAATTGCAAGGCAAATAATGTACGAAACTATGGAATTATAGCCACACATCATTGCACAATTGGTGTTCAAATTTAAATTGTCAATCAATAAATTTTGAAGGTGTTCTCCACCATTGACAAACATTAAAAAGCTCTGCAGCTTTGAAATCGAATTTGGGTTTTTTAAAAATCATTATTTGTTTGGATTGGATGTTGTTGCAAACAATTGATACTGTTTGGAGTTTATATCTCAATTTTGAGGGTATTTGGTGAAGATTAGACTTGATTTTGGCTGAATTTCAGATTGAAAGAAGAAGAAGAAGAAGAAGAAGATGATGAGATGATGATGATGATGATGATGATGATGATGATCACCACCAATTGTATGGTGAACATATGACATACAATATGCTTACGAATTTAAAATTGTAGTAAAGTTGTAGTATAATTGTATGTAAATTGTATTCTGTTGTAGTTATAAATATTTTTTTTAATTTGAATGTTGTATGAAAGTTAAAAAAAAATAGTTGTATGATGTATGAATTATTGTATAAAATTAGTATTTAATTTATCAATACTATCTTTTTACATAAAGTTGTTGATATTTATCAAAATTGTATTAAGAGAGTAAGTTTTGATTGGAATTTTAGATAGAAAAAAGCACACACCACATACAATATATATATATATATATATAAATCAGATACAAAATATACAAAAGGCATATTGTATAAAATTTGTATGACAATTGCATTTAAGTTGTATGATATTGTAGTTGTATTTAACTGGGTAAGAACGATGTATGAAAGTTGTAGATAAGTTATAAATAAGTTGTATATTGTATAATTAGTTATATGAAATTTATTTTTATTATGTATGTTGTTGTAGATATATCAAATTTTGTATTAAATTTGTATGAAATTTATTTTTAATTTGTATGATGTTGTACCATGCATTATTCTTTTCTTAAAATACGTAATTATGACAAAGAGAGAGAAGAGTATAACGTAATCAACAGCTTCGCAATTTGCAGCTTTTTCTTGTCAAGGATGTTGAAGTTAATACTACTTATCATTCTTTAGCACATTTAAGATCTCATCAGCTGTCGCAGTCACAATGTTGAGGGGTTATCCTCCACATAAAAGGTACTGAATTATAAAGAGCATGGCTTCATAAGCAGCCCTAGTTCCCTTTTGTTTTTGGCCGGTAAACTCCTCATCGTTCTTCTATTTCCAAAGTAAAAACACTTTCTTCATGAATCCTCTGTCTCTTCTCAGTGGGCTCAGAGACAAGTAGATATTTCTGTCCTTCTTCTGTATTTTCTTGGGAGGCTTACTCCTGTAAACGCGATTCCCAAAAATTTTGGGGGTCAATTCTTCCATACAGAGACTCTGCTTCACTAGAGGTTGAATTGTCCAATATGTAATTTAGGTTTTCATTGGCTTGGTGGGCCTACACTTTTTCGATGACGGGAGCTGCTATTGCCACCATCAGATACTCAAACGTGGTTAACACTATTGTTCCCTTCAGTTATGCCTTTTTCTAATCAAAGAATCCTAATTTAAGGCACTAATAATGGATTGTATATAATTTATAAGTAATCCTTGTTTAGGGCGGGTAATATACAAAATTTGAACAATTTTGGTAAATAAATTTCCAATATTTTATAGGAAGGAAAAAATCCCTAATATTCAGTTACCGTATTTTAGTCAAGAGGTATGATTGTACAAATGATGTTTCCGTATTAAGAAGTGGCTAAAGTTTAATTAGTTTTGAAACACTGGATAAAGCTTTAGGGAATTTTACCTCCTATAATAAAGGTTGACACCTTATTTATTATAAATAAATACCCTTTTAAAAAATTATTTCCTGTAGCTACCTTTTAAATTTTATAGCAAAATATCTATTTATGGCCACTTCCTACCTTTAAGCCATTAAATACGCTGTGTATTATTTTTTTCTTTCCTTTTTTTTCTCTCACAAAATTACCGTATAGGAGGTAAACTTCTCTTTCCACGATCTCTCTCCAATTTCTCTCAGTCATAGCGTCATTCTCTTCCCCATTCTCTCTATCCACGATTCTCCACTGATCTCCATTGTCTCTCTCAATTTTCAACTTTTTTTGCTCCAAAGAGTCGTGGTAAGGAGAAACAATGATATAGAGAAATACAAGTGCAGATCTCAAAATTTTCAAAGCAGAAATGAGAGATTCACTACCGGCAGCGACGCCCCACATGGCGGCGGCCTGGATATCGGTGGATTGGGGACGGAGTTTGGGGCTGAGGAACTTGAAGAGCCCGTTAAATTTATTTTCATTGTATTTCAATATATCTCGTTGTATTCCACGTATTTCATTGTATTCACTGTCTTTAGTTTTTTCTACTTTTTTCAATATATTCACTGTATTTAGCTGTATTCAATGTAATTATATAATTTCAAAGCTTCACTTTATTTCACTGTTTTGTCCAGCAATATATACTCATTAGTATGTATTCGATGTATTGTAGAATGTATTTATATGTTTTTTTAATTAATATAAGTTATGTATTCAGATGTATATACGTATTCAAATATATCTGCAATATGTATTCATATGTTTTTGCACTATAGATGACCTGCTATACTTCATGTATTCAATGTATTTTTATGTATTTAACTGTATTCAATGTAATTATATAATTTCAATAAATAAATCCGTTTGTAAAGATACCACTAAAAAATATTTTAGTAAAGATACCACTAAAAAAATGATGGATTGAATCTCTGAAGATTGCTCTGTTTTTGGGGTATTTTTCGGTTGAGAATCTTTTTTATGACTGGAAATATAAATTTTGCGTGTTATAATTGAGTTTGTTGAGTTATATTAGGAGTCTATCGCATTAATTGATTCACTTACCGTTTTTAAACAGCTGAAGACCTTTTTTTTCACAGATTTCTATTACTGTATTCACGAAAACAGCTCGCGAATACATATGAATATAGTCTATGCGTTAGCTGTAATTCCCTTTTCTCCGCCAACTTTTCCTATTGTATTCATGAATACATTAGCTTAAATACATCGAATACACTCTATAACAAGTTAAAACATAGCTATAGGAAGTACTTTAGTAAATGGTAGCTATAGCAGGCGAATAATCACTAAATAATAGTGGTTTCTAAAAATTTCTCAAAGCTTTATTAGGAAAAATAGCCAGATTTACAAGTGGTCATTCAAAAATAGTCATAGTTTCAAAAGTAATCGAAATTTAGCCACTCTTCATGTAAAGATAAATCTGAACGAAAACACTGCTCAAAATCCAAAAAATACTCTAGCATAATATACTGGAGTTCCAGCATAAGTATACTGGAACTCCAGTATATTATAATGGAGTTCCGGCATAAGTATACCGGAACTCCAGCATATTATAATGGAGTTCCAGCACAAGTATACTATAACTCCAGCATAATATGTTGGAGTTCCAGTATAATATACCGGTCCAGTATAATATGCTACAAGTTCATACACAGGTGCTCCAATCTCCAGTATATTATGCTGGAACTTTCCGCGTGTTGGAGTTCCAACATAATATGCTGGAAGTTCATACACAGGTGCACCGATCTCCAGTATATTATGCTGGACCAGTCCCTGTTGCAGCAAAGTAGTGGCTATTTTTTATTGACTTTGCAAACTCTGGCTATTTTTGAATGACCAGTATGAAAACTGGCTAGCCCGTGCAATTTGTACCTTTATTAGTGGTTCAAAAAGTGGCTATATACCCATCTGTGCACTTAGGCCCAACTTAATTGGGTTAGAAACCCACGTCTAGAAGCCAAAGCCCACGAGAAAGACCGGCCCATACAGGCAAGAAGTTCTGTTCAGAAGGAAAATGGAGGAAATTGGAAGAACCAAGTGGAAATAGACACACTGAGCTAGGGCTTAGCATTGTTGAGTATCAAGTTTGAGAAAATGTCGTCGTCTTCGTCGAAAACCCTAATTCGGACGGGCGTTTCTCTGATAACCCGTTTGATGAATCAAAACTTGAGATTCTCAGCTCAGAATCCTGAAATTGCAAATCGGACCCTCACTTCTAGGCTTTTTCCATCTCTCTCCTCTCAGTCTCCGATTCCTCTTCAGTTTCCCCAATCCGACGTCGATTCGTTCAAAAAGGTTTCCTCTGAAGGCTTCTTATATCCCACTGGCCTTCCTTCTCTCCCCTTTTTTCTCCCCGACGGTAAGTCTCTTCTTCCCTCTCTCTATGCTTACGTATTTGCTGAAAAGTTGGTATTTAGCTGAAAAGTTAAGGTATGTGTAATGTTTGTTAGTATCTCATTTCGGATAAATGGGCCGAAGCAGAGCGTATTGTATGTAGAGGATTCTTATAGCCAGCCCCAACTAGGTTCATAATTGAGGCAGAGTTGATTGATTGATTGATTTCAAATCGCACTCTGGCGTGCTAATTGCTTGGGTTTTAAATGCAACTAGAGTTGTTCGTTTTTTACCCAGTTGCTTCTCTATACGTTCAGACTTCACACATGAAAGTTCAATATACTTGGATCACTGAAGGAAAAAAAAACTCATTTTTTCTATACGCAAAGATAATGCCTGAATATTCCGACTAAGGCTGTGTTTTGTACCACGGGTTGATAATTTACAATCGGATTAAACTAAAAGTGGGTTGAATTGAGGCAAAGTCTTGAGGAATTTTTCTTCGTTTTCAATGCTACAGTTCTTAGAAGCAAATTTTCAACCTTTTAACATTGTTATATTGATTCCCTCATTTTCTTAATGTTCTTGGCTTCCCTAGCAACCTCTTTTTCAACGAAAATAGACAAATAGTTTAGTTTTCGAATTAGTTTTCTTCGAAAACTAGCTTAGTATTTTTCTCAAACTAGAATGGAGAAGTAGCTCTCATATATCTAAAGAGAAAAAAATGGAAAAAGAAGTTTGCTAACAGAGTGAAATGTAACCCATTAGATTTTAGCTCATTGTAGCACAATATTCTGATGGGTCATACGGTTTTAATTATAGTTAAACAACTTACTAAAGTTAGGTGACTTACGCTAAATAAGTAAAAAAAAATCACCTCATTCATAATGTAACATTCTCATTTTGTAGATGTCACGTTGTCTCCTTGTTTTTTGCTTCAAAGCAGGCTGGCTTATGGGTTGAATGAGAAGAGAGATCTTGGATACTGAATAGAACATTTCTATTTGGTCTTCTAATTATACAATGAATTTTACCAACTCCCTTAAGTTTATATGGTTATGCCAGCTCTTGGTTCTCCACATTTTAGCTGGCACTTGGAGAGCGCTCTCTTAAAAAATTCTTCCCTAGAGGCATGGGGCTGGCATGGAGAGGATGAAGAGGAAAAAGTTCTTGCTTTCTGATGAATCAAATAATTTTTTTAGGAAATAAGGATTATCTAGATGTTTTACAATTGTATATAGAGTTAACTGTATGGAGGCTCTTTTTGGTCTACATTGTTCCTATGCGCTTCTACAAATGTTAATTGTTGTTCATTCTTTTTCCTAATGAATAAAAAGCTTGGATAGTCAGAAATTAAACTTTTTGTATAACTATACGATGCCTGCACCTTCCTTCGACCTTTTTGGTTTTTTTTGAACTATTTTTGTGAATATATTATGATTGACATTGCATTGTTTGTTATTTCATCTGTATTCATGTAAACCATCAGAGACTTGAACAAAGAATCATGGCATTAGTCTGGTTTTACATGAACTAATGTATGGTTCTTATATTTCTTTCATGCAGTCGATGATTCTTCGTCAAGTGGGATGCTTTTATTTCCTAAGAGAACCTACCAACCCAGTAACATCAAGCGCAAAAGGACACATGGTTTCCTTGCTCGGTAAGGGTAGCACTATTCACCATTTAGCACTTGCATTGTTCTGTTTAAGCTTAGGTCTTTGAGTTGCTGAAAGAATATGGACAAGACCACTCTTGTTTCTCTTCCTGCTTATGGAAACTGTAGTAGTACAAAATATAGAATAGGTTCCCCTGAATTCATATATTAAGTTATGGACAAAGTATTTTACTTTTCAATTTATAGGGAGATTCTTCGTCTGGATTGTTTATGTTATTTGTTCAGTTCTGGATTGTTTATGTTATTTATTGTTGTTGTTGAGTTCTGACTAGCACGTACTTTAATCATTGAGCAGCAAAGCAACAAAGGGTGGCCGGAGAGTCATTGCTCGACGTATTGCAAAGGGCCGATCAAGAATAACAGCTTAGCAACTATATTTGTTGCATGGTTCGCAAGGTGTACGGATCAAGGCTAGAAGCCTAGTTTAGGGCGTGTCATGGAATAGTTCAAGTTGCGACTGTTGAAAAGAATGAGCCTCAAAGTAACGTTATAATTGGAGTTTTATATTAAGGCTCCTACCTCCCAGCTTTGTCCACAACTCTTCTAAGTATTTCTTTTGCAGAAATTCATTGAAGCTGGTTTCGATTCCTTAACAATATGCTTGATTTTTAATAAGGTTTTTTTTCTTAACTGAACTTAATGTAGCCCATAGTGCCATGCAGTGTTAGTATCACAGCCCTAGAATCTTCTCTCCTTTAGCTTACTGATAATTAGGATCTTGATAAGACCTTTTGGTTCAAGTTAAAGAGACCAATGACACCTTTTTATTTCTTTCAAAAAGCTAATGAAATAAGAGCTCTCATGGAAGAAAGTCTACCAAGGTACTCAATATCGAATAAAAATTAGTTGTCTCCTATTATCAATTGTAGATCTCCTTCCCAGTCACACTGAAAGGCCAATGAAATCGCGCCACGTGTGCAAGTGACATGTTATGGCCAATCAAATGCGGCCATGTCACATTTCAATTTGATTGGTCGGAAAGAGTTTGTTCTTATCATGACTCCTCCCTTCCACAACTATAAATAGGAGTCTTCATAACTCAGAAAAGACACCAGAAGTTATAACAAGTAGCAAGAGAGAGCTCGTGGATCAAACGCCGCAAATTTCTCTACAAGTTTCAAGCTTCAAGCAATCAAGTTCAAGCTCAAGAACGAAGAACAAAACAAGTTCAAGCTCAAGAACGAAGAACAAATCAAGGTCAAGTTCAAGCAATCAAGCAAAAGCTCAAGAACAAGATCATCGTTCGTGGTGACAACTACATATTCAAGATCAAGCTCAAATGCCCTTGAATTTATTTACAATTGGAAAGAAGAATCAGCGGATCCATAGAGATTGTAACACTCAAATATTCGAAATAAAATACTACGATTGTTGCGATATTTTCGGTCTTGATTTTATTTTCTCGACGCAAATTTATTGTCTACAAATTCTGGCACGCCCAGTGGGACAATCTCTACCTCTCATCTCAACTTTTCAATCACCAAAGTCCAAGAACATTGAAATGGCTTCAAAGAAAATCAACTCCGATTCAACTTCCATCAAGGCTGCTAACTCCAAGTTCTACGCTGATGTGGAAAGCATCCTCGATGTCACCTTTGGAAGCTTCGGACCAGTTACGAAGAGCAAAGCAAGCTCTTTAGGACAGCAAGCACCCCAAGTGTCGTCCGCATCAACCCCTGTTTTCAGATCTTCATCATCAAAAGGAGCAAGATCTTCCACAAATGCATCTGAAGGAGGAAACGATGTTGCTGAAAAGATCAAGAAAACTCTTGCTCTGCTTGACCTCTCCGGATCCAAGCACTCTGCTGTGAAGGAAGATGATGATGCTTCAAGTGATGGATCCTCCCCACTTACACCACATAGCGTGAGCCAATCAAGGATCAATCTATGTGAAAATCCATGCTACTCTCCGTCGTCCACGACAATCATGCAAGCCATAGTGACAAACACTTCATCTATGGAGGAGCAGTTGGCAAACTTGATGGAAGCAATCGCTGGCTTGACCAAATGCATGCAAAATCAAGAGGCAAGAATTGACAAGCTAACAGACAGGGTGGGAATCTTGATGGAAGAAGAATCCACCCATGCACCCGGCAAGCTCCCAGAGGTTCTAGAGAGTGACTCTCCCCCAAGACAAGCATCATCCACTAAGGCTATCCCTGTCTCAACTGAAGGGATGATTCCAATCGATCAATTGAAGGAGTTCACTGAAGGAACCATTAAGAACAAATATGAAGTTCCTGCCAAATCCTCCCTTACATATGCAAAGCCGTACAGCGCAAGGGTCGATATGTTAAAGATGCCTGCTGGCTATCAACCTCCGAAATTTCAACAGTTTGATGGTAAAGGTAACCCAAAGAAACATGTTACGCACTTCGTGGAGACGTGCAACAATGCTGGGACTTATGGAGATTACCTCATCAAGCAGTTTGTCTGCTTGCTAAAAGGAAATGCTTTTGACTGGTACACGGACCTCGAGGCTAGATCTATCGATAGCTAGGATCAACTAGAGCAAGAGTTCCTCAATCGCTTTTATAGTACGAGACGTACTGTGAGTATGATAGAACTTACAAATACTCGTCAACGAAAGGGGGAGCCAGTTATCGACTTTATCAATCGGTGGAGGAATGCAAGCCTCAACTACAAAGACAGGCTTAGTGAAGCTTCAGGCATAGAGATGTGCATCCAAGGCATGCATTGGGGATTGCACTACATCTTGCAAGGTATCAAGCCTGGCACATTTGAAGAACTTGCAACTCGTGCCCATGACATGGAATTGAGCATGGCCTCTGCTGGAAATGAAAGGCTGCCCATCTATGAACCTCGCAAAGGGAATGACAAGCAAGAAGTCAGGAAGTGGGGCAAGTTCGTACCCAAGTCTGAAAGCAAAGAAGCTATGAATGTCAACACGTCACCTTTGAAGTTCACGACGAAGGTGACCAAGAAGCAGAGTATGAAATCCACATATTTTCACGATAAGACAAGTGGAAAGTTGACTCTAAAAGAAATGCAAGAGAAAGAGTACCCATTTCTAGATTCCGATGTGCCAACTATTTTTGAAGAACTCCTTGTTAAATCTGATTGAGCTTCCAGAGATGAAGCGACCAAATGAAGCTGGGAAAACAAATGACCCAAATTACTGCAAATACCATCGACTTGTGAGCCACCCTCTAGTGAAGTGCTTTGTCTTCAAGGACAAAGTCATGGACTTGGCTCGCGAAAAGAAGATCGTGCTTGAAGATGAGAAAGCAAGCGCGAACCAAGTCTCTATCACCTTTGGCTCATTCAATCTAGATGAGTTATGCAGTTTAAAAGGAATCAAAAATGAAGAATTACTAGAGAAAAACAAAGTTGAAGACGATCAACCTGATGATGATGAAGGTTGGACGTTGGTGACTCGTCGTAGGCGCCACAAAAGGAGCCCACGAAAAGAATCAGTAGAACAACCAACAAGGAAGACGATGGTAAAAAGACCAATGAAAAAGAAGCCAGTTAGGCGTTTGAAGAAAGCAAAAGTGGAGATGCACCATTCTCAAAAGCCACGAAATCCAGTGACCTTGGAGGAGTTTTTACCAAGTTGGTTCCGCACGAAGATTTCCCATGAGGGGCATTGATGCCTCTTGTTGCCATGCTGACAAAGGGGAAGAAAAGAGTGATGACCTACCGTTGGCACCATCTTCGGAAAAGCCCATCGAGTCCACTCCTCAAGAAGTTAATGCTTGTGAGGAAAAGGTTACGTTCACAAATGACGATCTTTTGCTAGGTGACACTCCTCATAACCGCCCATTGTACCTGGTTGGCTATATGCGCGATGAAAGGGTAAATCGGATTTTGGTTGATGGAGGATCCTCAGTGAACATTTTGCCAATCCACACTGTGAAAGAACTTGGTATTCCCATGAACGAACTCTCAAAAAGTCGTGTGATGATCCAAGGATTCAACCAAGGGGGGCAAAGAGCCATAGGCGCGATCAGGCTGGGAATCACTATTGAAGATATGCAATCAAGTGAATCGACGCGAAGACTTCATACAATGTTTTGCTTGGGAGGCCTTGGATACATGAGAATAAAGTAGTTCCATCTACCTACCATAAATGTTTAAAATACTACGAGGGTGAAGTCGAGAAGACGGTAGTTACTGATGATGAGCCATTCACCGAGGCTGAGTCACACTTCGCCGATGCAAAGTTCTACTTGAAGAACCGCATTGTGAAGGAGCTGAAAGCTGATGATGGCATGAAAAGAAAGAATAAAGAGCCCTCAACTAAAATAGAAGAGGTGACTACTAGTGAAGCCAAAGTTGCTAGTAAGGAGGTACAACCCAACGCGAATAAATCTTATTGAGGAAATATTACGTCTTATGGCAAGAAAGTAAGTACGGTGCTCCAATATGTCCCTAAAAGGAAGAAAGATAAAAGTAAATCATCTAACCGCCAAGCCAACATGCTAAAGGTGTTAACTCTTCCGGTCAAACGAATTGAGGCAGTAAAGTCATCCTCAATGCCACTTGCAGGGTTTGTAGCCCAAAATCGTTTGTAGAATGTGGCACTCCCTACAAAGCGAACAGATGAAGGTTTTGACCCTAACGCTTACAAGCTATTTGCAAAAGCTGGATATAATCCCAATGAGCCGTCAAAGTTAGGGAAGCTACCATCAGAAGCTGCAACGAGACAACCACGTGAAGGTTTGGGATACAAGCAACCGTCACCAGTGCGCATCTCAATAAGAAGGGCGAGCAACAATTATATCACTGTAGAAGATGAATCGGCCGCTTCTAACAAGCCTTCTGTCTTTGATCGACTTGGAAAATCACCTGTGAGGACCTTCGTGTTTGAGAGATTGGGTCCATTAAAGAACGGAAACAAGTTTCGGAGAAATTTTCAAAGCATAAGAACACCCGCTTCACCTAAAATCCAGGAGATCTCTAAGGATTTCTTAAGTTTGGTTCCTTCTAGAATGAGGCGACAAATAAAACTTGTGGTTTCATGTAAAGAAATACTGAAGGTAAAGCCATACACTGTGGTCTACACTAAAGAATGTGATGAAGACGAAGAAAGTGTGGGTTCTTCGTATCATGTTACCGCACAAGGCGAGCATGGTGTTTTATCTCTAATGGAGGATGACGAGAAATTGGATGATGTTTCACCATGTTATCACATATCCTTCAACGATGGGGACCCTCAAGAAGATGAAGACGCAAATGATGCTCCTCCATAACTTGAAGAAGGGGTGAAGGCAACGATTGATGCCTTAAAAGAAGTTAACCTTGGCACTGATGAAGAACCAAGACCCACATACCTAAGTGCTTTGCTAGAAGTTGTTGAAGAAAGCACTTATATTGAGTTACTCAAGGAGTTCAGGGACGTCTTCGCCTGGAGTTACAAAGAGATGCCTGGCTTGGACCCGAAAGTAGCAGTCCATCACTTTGCAGTCAAAAATGGTGCTCGCCCTGTTAAACAAGCTCAAAGGCGTTTTAGGCCAGACTTGGTTCCCTTGATTGAAACGGAAGTTAACAAACTCATCGAAGCTGGCTTTATTCGCGAAGTTAAATACCCAACATGGGTTTCAAGTATTGTCCCTGTAAGGAAGAAGAATGGCCAGATTCGAGTGTGCGATGACTTTAGAGATCTCAACAA